CAAGTTATTTCCTCTATCTGATCAAAACAGACGTCATAAGATCAATTCATGAATTTGTACTTCTGGATAGAAATGCTTTCTTAAGCAGATCGCCCTTTCAGATGAAGACCAGTTCGCCTAACTCATAGAAGGCCACGCAATCATCCCAAAATTCTGTTCATTTCCCTAATTAAACGAGTAGCAACTAAGGTCCTATTTCTTCCCCCTGGATCACCTTCTGTGTGAGTCTGACGTAGAAACGGGCGGGTCTTCAGACGAACAGGCTACAATTTCAGCGCAGTCGTCATCAGAAATGTAAATTATAAGTAATTTTTATATTGCCTTTCGCCGAAACGGGCTGGACGACCGTGGTTCGATTCCCGATAGCGGCATGGATTTCCCTTTTTCGCCACAACGTCCACACCAGCTATGGGGCCCACACAGCAAACTATCCAATGGGTACCCGGGGGGGGGGGGCATTTACCCTCCGTACGTCTTCATGGCGTGGCGCTTAATTAAGCAGAGCCAGATCACCATATCACACACTTAACTCTACGACCCAAAAGACACCCATCCATTTTCATACTCCCCACCGTGATAACCTAAAATCCCGCTTGTTATAAAATAAGGGCTGTCTTATGGGATCATTCTCAAGGTAACAGTAGCAATAATTTTGAATTCTAATCTTGCTGCACGTGTGATGTCTTTTTCAAATCAAGATCACGCTATTTGCGACATACATTTACGAAACAACATTGAATGTGATAACAAAGTACAATTGATCTAGAAGAGGATAACTTTCCGATATTTAATGGACATCTGACGAAGAATTGCATTTAGAATTTACATTTAAATTTATATCGACTAAACACCTGAAGATGGTTCATTGAAAACCGAAACATGTCGTGAAAAAGATGATGCTCTAATTGTAAATCGAACATTTCGATAGACAGAGCATCATTTTAATATATTTTAAATATTGTAAATATTAAATGTTAATTATAATAATAATATTTTGATATTTAATAAAATATTTTATTGTGATTAGACGGTTAAAATTAAACAATTAAATCAAGAAAACAAAAAAAGGAATCCCACTGTATGTTTATTTACGCTGAGGAAGTAAACGCTCAAGGTAGTGAGCCTTCAGAATACAACCAGACCTTCTTACACTGCTAATGAGACATTAGAACCCAAGTCACCCACTGCAGCCGCGACGTGTCCTACACTTCCGCGTGGGTAACGAAATAAGACATCAATTTTGTTCGTTTCCGAAACAATCATCTTCGAAAAAAAAGAAAACAGTTTGATTTGCGCAATAATTTCAACAAACCGTCAAGGTAGCTTAGCTCCTTCTCTCATTCTTTAACTTTCTCCTCGGACTGGGAGCCCAGCCCCATGGAAAGTCGATGGCACGGCCTACTTTTTCTTACGGATGAGCAAACAGTTAAAAAGAAAGATGGATGGAAATCAAGGTCACACTCTCTATAACAGAGATATGGCTGCCTGCTGGCAACTAGTAAGAAGATGAGACGGCCACCTTGAACGTGAGAGGTTTGCGTTAGTGTCGTAGCAGGTGAAAATCTAAGTGAAATAAGAATTCACTTTTCATTGGCATCGTTTCGCTGTATGTGTCAATATGGACGAATACAGAATCAAATAACCTTACGTACAACACAAAACACTTATATCATAAACATGAGAAATATAGTACAATCTTAATCAGACAAGACGCATGCCAGAAGAAAGTTTTGGTAGAAGAATGTTAACAGAGACTGAGAAAGTGTTTCACAGAAATCGGCCCACACGGTCACACTAAATGTAAGCACTGGCGCCATATGGCTTCCAAGTCACTATGAAATCGTCCTTAAATGTTACTTAACACAGTTTCGGGAACGAAGACACGAAGTAACATTCCAACACGTTTTCGAAGAAAGGCCAAGATTTGTTGCAAGAACATGGCGTATTTAAATTTAGCGCGCGAAAATAGCACGGTCGCCAATTGACGTCAGACAAACAAGCGGGAAAAGCAGACGATATCAGTTTCTTACATCATATATTACGTTGTAAGTTTCGGAGATAAGTATTACATATATGTCGTTTACAAGTATTTTATCGAACATGAAATTTATTAACACCGCCTTATTCATTCATAACACTGAACAAATTTCGTTAAATCTGGACCACAACACGAAGATTCGTCTGCTAACTTCCACAATAAAACCTATTACGGGGCCACAAACTACTAAACAAAATGCAACAGAAAGTATATAGAATTATTACAGTGATAAATAAGGAATGTGCATATTTACATTATGTCACACCTTTTAGCGTTATTGTGCAATGTTCACCGCCCTACAGTTTCTATATTCTTATCACAACCAGCTTGAAAATCTACAAATCGTTGTCGGCCATGTAACAAGCACAAGGCATATGGCACAGATATAAGTGAGAATGTTAACGTATTCTGGTGTAACGTTCGCAATATATAATCAAGAGTCGCTTGTTCTCGTTACAATCGTTTAAAATTCTGCAATACCAAAATATTAAAATTATTTAAAATAATCCAATATAGCAATAAGCGACACATGGATCTATAATCGTGTTGAACACGCCCCACTAACAGCTTCCATTAATAGTCGAAAGAAGCCGCGTTAGGCAAATAATTCAACAATATGATGATCTGTTTTGTTTCACTTTCAATGAGAGATGATCCGGATCAACATACAATAATCACTTCACACTAACCTGGCAACTTTGTACGAGGGTCCTCGTGAATGGCTGGATACCAAACTGTTTGATTCTCACATAGGTTGATGTTCTTCTTCGAACCTGTATACTATGTCCAAGCTGACACCACTTCTCTACACGAGCACAAAGTCTGCCTGACCCTATGCACGCCATAGTCCAAACTGTTGTGAGACGATAGTCTCCCAACATAACCGCCTTTCGAGAGTGAAACTCCAGCACCCCCGATCGTCGTATTATTTTATTTATAGGCTTAGCCGGAGAGTACGTTCCATTGCTGCCAACACGGGCTATTTAAACGTTCAACTCCGCTACGATGTCTCCATACTACATCATGCACTTATGTCTCTTTCTTTCAGCAGCACAAACATAACTTACGAATTATGTTACATTTTATGACGTTTCGAAAAATCTGTAAATAAGCAAAATTTTTTTCCAAAAATATGGACTTTAATGTACAGAGTCATAGGCGTTGCGTAATATTATATCTCCATAAACAACACAAAATGTAGTATTCTTTGCAAGAGAATATTTCCTTAACGTTGGCGGCATTGTTACTGGTATAAGAAATGGCTGCTTCGGTGGTATGGTGTTTAGGCCAAGCACTGAAGAAAATAGAAAATGTCTTTGCATTAGCAATTGGACGTCAGTTTCCACCACGTAAGTAATAATGTATATAACATTCTTTGTGAACAGAAACTATTATTAAATGTTCTTATATAGTTTTCAGTGTTACCTTAACCTTCATTGCAGATGGTCTGTGTATGGTGGTAGTACAGTCAGATGCCACAAACAAGACAATTCCAAAGTCATCTCTTTCTCCGGAGGAACTCTTTCGCCATGGATTCCTCTGGGCAGTACCGTACAAGAGACGTTCACTTGAAAAAAGGTTGAGTCGTAAGTTTGGATATCCGGAATATGTTTATAAATTATTACTTCCGAAAAGGAATCTCCTGGTTTGTAATACGTGTGGTCATCACCACGAAGCCGGTCATTTGTGCCGTAAGTACCCACTGGCAGTTTACTTTTTAACAGATTAAAAGGGAAAGATTCATTTGGTTAGATTGGTGCTTATGTTGAGAATACTTTACGCTCCCTAATGTTTATTGATAAGATTAAAAGGGAAAGATTCATTTGGTTAGTCTGGTGCTTATGTTGAGAATACTTTACTCTCCCTAATGTTTATTGATAAATATATATATGTGCATGACTGAGTAGAGCAATTCATCTTCAGGCACTGCTTATTTCTTCTTTATACAGTGTATCAACCACATTTATTACTGAGTAATATATTCTGTTGCAAATTTTATCAATCTCTTCTTCTGTTACAATATTGTTAATAATATAGTCTACAATGAAAATCTCACTTTTGCCATTTTGTATAGTATCTCATCATACAGCTTCATTACAATTACAACAACAAAAAAACAATGCTGATATTGGCTAAAATATGTGTGCATAGCAGGTTATCGATGTTGTTTCCTTGCAGCTCACTGTTACGCTAAAGTTCGATCAGAAACAGAAGCTATGCAGTCTGCTATTCAAGAAGAACTCGGATTAAGTCCTGTAGAACAAGAAGTGGTTGTTTTGTATGGTGGCGAGAAAGTAGAACAGCCTGCTGAATATTGGAAGGTAAATAAAGAATCTCAAGTTTATTTTTGAAAGTGCTGTCTTACATTATCGCAGCATGGATTTATGTTAAATTGATTAGGATACAGACTTTGCTGTGACCTGTCACATTATTAACCGGAGATGAGATACCCACTTAAGGTTGTATGCAGTGATGCCAACATAGAAGAAACTTTATTACTTACAAGGCAGTTTTTGAATGCACACAACACATTCCTTCTAGAGAAGCAGGGGTAGAGTGTATACTCTCATCGTGATGTATCATATCAAGTTATGTATAATTACTTCATCTTATTTACTTGCATACATACGTTTCTCAGAATCTGTTAATGCTTCGAGCCATGATATTAAAAAAATATATATTATGTAAGACGCTGCTAACTTCCCGAGGAACAGTCTTACCAAATACTTCCGTCACATTAGTATGCAATTTAATAATGTGAAAAGTGCATTTCACTTGCCAGGTAACAGGATTGCCGCTTACGTTTCTCCAACCCTCTGCCTTCATTTCTGCCATTTTTACTCTTTCTTTCTACCCTCATTAGCTGTTGTGCCATATTTTGATATAAATTATTCTTATGACACTTCACTCTACAAACTGTAACAGGATACTTCTTATGTGAGATTTGAACTCTGAAGAAGGAGGCAGTATGTTCCTCTGAAACATTGGTGTGTCTGTGTTCATACAAAGATCCAGAAAACTGATTTGTTCATTGGTTTATATTTCCATTGGTTAATTTAATTTTTGGTGCATGGAATTTTAATCATCTAAAATTGATTCTGCCATGGTATTATCTGCATCAAAAATTATTAAAATACCGCTTACACGAACTGTTTATTGCAATCAGGAAGAGAAACCCTCAGAATGAAATGCATATGAGGAAATTTGCCAGTTAAATAAGGAAAATGCCAAAGCATCATAAATAAATAAATAAATAATTTATTCTTGTCTCCCTCAGTGATCTAGTAGTAGCATGCTTGTCACCGGACCCAAGGTTCACAGGTTCAAACCCAGCTAAGGATGGATTTTTTAAGGGTGATAAAAATATGTGGCATTGACTAAATTTGAGCATGCAAGAGAGAACTGTAAAGTTTAAAATGAAGTCAAAGCTATGATTATGAAATAAAAATTCTTGTCAGAATGTCTCCAGAAATTTGTGTTTGAATTATTAGTGTCCAGTGACAGCCACTCAAAGGAAATATATTCCAACTTTCATCACTTGCAGAGGTTGAACAGCAGTTTTAGAAATAATTTTATACTTTTAGGTGCTAACAAGTGGATTAGGGATTCATTTAATGTTAGGTACAAAATTTGTAAAGTTGATCTTTCATGTAACACCTCATTCAGGTCAGAATTCATTATATAGGACGTAGCACACTTTTGGTTACATAAGAAAAAAGAGTACCCTGAAGTGGCAAAGTATTTAATGCCAGTCTACACAACATATTTATGTAAGCAGGTGTTTTCCAAGCTGTGTTATGTAAAAATCAGATTACGGGAAACATACGAATGTGGATCGTGATGTATACTTAAATCTGTTTACTGTTGAATTTTAAATCGAGAGCATAATATCGACAAAGTAACGTCAACCATTGCAATAGCAAGTAATATTTTTATAGTACCGCCTTCCTGCATACTTGGTTACACAGGGTGGTCAGAATGTCAGAAATCTCATTCCTGACACATTCTAGCTGTCAAAAACAAAAGGAAATCGCATTCAGCAACGCATGCTTTCACGCTTTTCCTCGTTTTGATGCAACCGGGTGAAGAGTTTCTGCAGTCACTGGGTTATAAATCACAAATGCTTTTTCTGATTTCAGGGTAAACGTATCATTGAAATGAAAAAGGAAAGGCCATCATGGTTTAGTAAAAATTTGCTTGAGAAATCAACAGTTCAGCCTTCAAGTAGCAGTGATGTGAAACCGACAGAACTAGCGTAACCACAAGACCCAGCCTGTTCTACAGAATCGGTTCAACAGTGTGAATGCACACCAGTCACAGTCTTGAATTGATTAAAATGTTTACTTCAATCAGGTTTAGTTCAGTAAACAGATAGTGTGATCACTTTGTAAAGAGCTGCTAGTGACACTAAATATCTGTGAATTATCTGGAATGAATAGGATAGGATAAGTAATGCGGTAATAAAGAGACAGCATTGCCATTTATGTTAACCTGTGCACATGATAGTCTTATGAAAAGTAGACTGGTTCTCTGATGACTGTCATGTATGTTTTTGTTGGTGCCGTTTTACTATATAAACCATTCTGATGGGAGACTGAAATGTATTTAATGTAGAAGATTCTCTTTGATGTTAAGTGTCTGCTGTTAAATAAACGAATAAACATAAACGTCTAAATAAAATTTGACGTACCATAGTCTCCCAAAATCAGCGTTGATGAATTCAGGAAGACCACGAAAAAATGTTACGACAGTCGATCTCCTAGCCAAGATCAGAACCGGTAGTAATTACACCACAATTTTAAGTAGCTACAGATGAGAAATTTTGTACGAAATGTTTTGAGCCGAAACGCCTACATAATTACACAAATTCGCACAGCGCCAGCGAAACTTTCAAACTTCAGAGCATACGTCACTAAATTTCATAACAACAGAATTTATGATTTTCGTTGCAATGCGTTTACAGGATAAAGTAATTAACTCTCTGAAGCACATGTACAGTATTTATTTTTATTATTAGTGTTCTGTCTGACGCCAGGTCCATATGAACAGGATCCTTCCATCCTTTTCTCGGACTGGGACCTGTTCATATACGTTCTTGGCAGATGATCCAGAAGTGGTTTGCCATTGCCTTCTTCTGTGTGTGAATGGAGTAATTGTTGGGATGCCACGGAGGAAAACTCCGTGTTGCCTAGACCACGGCCTTGCTCAACACAAGTTATAAATTTGAGCACCACCGGGAATTGAACCCGGGACCCCAGGCTTACAAGGCCAGCGTTCTAACCGCTAGACCACCGTGGTATACCCTCCAATAAATCACCATGGCAAAAATTACATAAATTACAGTGCCAATCGTCATCAGCAGCCATAAATACAATGTGGTGTCTCTATTAATCTGTTAAGGAATGTAAGGTTGTCTCAAGATTTACGGCAATGAAAGACAAAACTTCCATTATCACAAATTAACTTTGTCATTGTCTCCACTTTTTTTGTTGGCTTTCATAATTTACAAATAGAAACAGTAAACTTAGCAAAATTATTGAAGTGATACGAGTGACATTTCAGTGAATCACAAAAAATCTA